GCAAGTACATTATCACCCTTTAGAAGTTTTAAGACAAAAACACCAACATTATGAGCATGAACCTAAATTGTTTTGCAAATTACAGAAAGTACCTGTAGCTCAGAATGTCCCGGATACAAATCAACGCTTAGCGCTCTCATCCGCCATCATCATCGCAATACAAATCAATCAAACATGCAGTGGAATCTACAAAGCCTAGCTCCAAATCCTACTAACACAACTTCCTCAACTTCCCAGCAGTTATTCACCGCCACGAACCATTTACACAAAAAACATAAAATCGAAAGCTTTACTCTGCTACGGGAAAAAGCTGTGGAGGAGTTACCAATTTCAAGTATCTTCTCTAATAAAACCACAAACAACAATCATTTAACTACATATATCACAAAATTCAACTAAATTTTACTTAAATTCTCAATTAACGTCAAATTAACTAACACAATTTCAACAAAAATTACAGCTTAAGTGCTATCTATTTCACAAAAAAACTAATGCAATTTTTACCCAATTCCATATCAATTTAAACTCATATTCACACAATTTCAACTAAATTTCATAAAAAATGCACTAAATTTCACACAAACAAATTCAATTTCACAAAAAATTACAATAATAATAAATTGTATAAAATTAAACTAAAATACCTTGAGAGGAAGAGGAGGTCAGGTGGGGGAAGATGGCGGTCGAGACACTGGCGGAGGCGAGTGGTGGAGACACTGGCGGCGGCGGCGAGGAGGGAGGGAGACACTGGCTGTCGAAGGCGAGGCGAGGAGGGAGACACTGGCTGCGTGGTCGACGGCGAGGCAAGGAGGACGAGCGCCACGACGTTAACAAACCGTGCGACGGCGGCCGGCGGTCTAGGAAAGCCGCGGAGGAGATGTGTCGGTCGAAGTTGGGTGGACGGAAGATTGCTGGGTCTGGATGTCTGGATCTGTGAACTGATTTCGTCTACAGATCTAAAAGAGGATAACCCGATTTTAGTTAATTATCTGCAACGGAAATAAGTCCGTTGCAGATT